CAACCCAGGACATTCCACCCCTCGCCTCTGCGAATCACGTATTTAAGAATTAAGAGATCCAACATTCAGTACAGAAAACAGTATACACATCAACATCAGAACAAAGAGTAGGCAAAACCAGACTGAAAGGAACTTCCCCACACCCATAGACTGACAGAATACTGAGACAGAATACTGAGATATAAGAAATAATCTTATAAACACCTGGGCAAAAGAACATGGCATTGAGTGGATATATCATATCCCCTATCATGCCCCAGCCTTCAGGAAAATTGAGTGGTATAATGGGATACTAAAGACCATGCTGAGAGCAATGGGAGGCGGAACTTTTAAGCATTGGGACACACATTTAGCAAAAGCCACCTGGTTAGTCAATACTAGAGGATCTGCCAACCAGGCTGGCCCTGCACAGTCAAACATTCTGCATATTGTAGATGGAGACAGAGTCCCGGTAGTGCACCCTAAAAACATGCTGGGGAAGACCGTCTGGGTTATTCCTACATCAGGTAAAGGTAAGCCCATACGTGGGATTACCTTTGCCCAGGGACCCGGGTGCACTTGGTGGGTAATGCAGAAGGACAGGGAATTCCGATGTGTGCCTCAAGGAGACTTAATGTTAGGTGAAAATAGCCAATAAGCTGTATTAGATTAGTCACCACACCACTCTACCAGTGCTTTGTTATGGCAAACATGAACTTGGATGAAGTTATGACTGGTTTCAGCAACTGATGCCCAGCGACTGCTGCAGACTGTGAATACAGACAGCATCAGATGCATCAGCTCCAGCTGCAACAGAGACTGCATGCCATCCTCCTGCCAGGTCCAAGGATACCTCTGCCCTACTGCCTGAGCATTGCTCCTCCTGCCTGAAGGGACTGTTATGACAGATGGAACCTGAAGCTATGGACCAAATGAATTCATGATACATCCTGCAGTGAAGGCCCTCGGACTGAGGGAATGATATCTGTGTGCTAGTAATTAATTAGAATGTAATAAAAATATGGAATGTGAGCATAATGTAAACGGTATGGAATAAGGGGTGAATACTGTCCTGGTTTGGGCTGGAATAGAGTTCCTGTTTGTTTGGTAGCTGGAGGAGTGCTGCAGCACAGAGACCCGGAGGCTTTCAAGGTCTGAGAGCCCTTGCCTGTGTGCGGGGGTGGGGGAGAACAGCTGGAGTGCTGGGCCCGGATTGGCCGATATTCCGTGTCATGTGACATTGTGCTCACTATATAAAGGAAGGCGTGAGTGGGGAGGGGCTGCCACTTCTGGGGAGTGTTGCTGTGGCACCTTTGTGTTTGGGATTGCCGGCTGGGAGCAGGCGGGGGGTGAGCAGCTGTATGGTACGTTACCCGTTGATACTGCTGTCAGTGTATTATTCTGTTACTGTTATTAAACTGGTTTTATCTCAACCCGCGAGTCACCCTTTGCCCCTCCGATTCCCTCCCCATTCTCAAGTGGGAGGAGGGTGGGTGAGAGACTGCATGGCATTTAGCTGATGAGTAGGCTCAAACGACTACACTTTCCCAAAGACAGAAGGGTGGATGGAGATATTTTTAGTGGGAAGAAGAAAATTCAAGTAAAAGATGTGACAGAAGTAAAACAGCCACTACCAAAACTGCCGAAAAGACCTATAACAGAACTTTATGATGCCTTAGTAAGGGACCTAGAGGATGAGATGAGATGAGATTCCCCACTCTGGGACAAAATTTGTTTGTAAACCTAGCCACAGAAATAGCCAAAGAGTTGAATGTATCTAATTGTTGGGTTTGTTGGGGGCCCCACACCACAGAATGGCCATGGAAAGGGACTAGCCTCAGTGCCTTTGATATAGTCCAGTGGAACTGTACAGTTACTAGCAAAATTGTAAGGCCTGAAGGATGGATACTGAACTTGGTCACGCCAGGACACGAATGCCTAGAATGCTGTGGAAATTCAAAAATTCAGTGGGCAGAACCCTTTGTATACGGATTCTCGTAACCAAGACCAATGGTGGGAACCCCAATCTCCTAAAAAGTGCTGGGCATCTAGAATGGATTCAGATGATTGTATGTTAAACCCTGAATATAAATTATATCAATGCCTCATCACAGAAAGTTACCAAAACCCATTTTCTGGAATTGATGAAATAACTGAATTTTGGGCAAATATAACAGCCACCCCTGAGTGGTTATGGAAAGCATCCGATGGTCTATTTTGGATATGCGGGAAACTGGCATATCTAAAACTCCCTGGCGATTGGGAGGGAAGCTGTACATTGGGAATAATTCAACTTGAGTTCTTCCTTTTACCTCAGACAAAAGGTGGTGAGCTCGGAGTACCTGTGTACGAGGACTTAGGTCGGCAGAAACAATCAATAGATATAGAGGGAAATCAAAAGTGGGGAGATGATGAATGGACTCCTGAACAAATTATTGAAACATATGGACGGGCTACATGAGCCCAGGATGGTAGCTGGGGGTACCGAACTGTTGTCTACATGTTAAATCGGATAATTTGATTACAGGCGGTAATGGAACTAATTTCGAATCAAACTGCAAATGCCCTAGAACTAATAACAAGACCTCAGAAACAAATTAGGGCAGCAGTGTACCAAAACAGACTAGCTCTAGACTATCTTCTAGCAGAAAAGGGAGGGGTCAAATTGCTGCTTGCAGATTGATGACAATGAGGAAGCAGTCTTAGAAATAGTGACAAATATTCTCAAATTGGCCCATGTCCCGGTACAAAAATGGAATTCAATGTTAGACTCAAAGTGATGGGATGATCTATTAGGAACTTCTTGGTGGAAAAAGATTGGATTTTTTTTTCCTTTGTGCTATCGCAGGATTACTATTTTTACCATGTTTAATACCCTGCAATGCAAATAAACCCTGAAATGGCTGCATCAGCTGGTGCCCACAAAGTTATGATACTAAAGACAGAAGATGCCACTAAAAACTCATTAGAAAGAGCCAGGCTTATAGTAGAAGAAAACCAAAGTAATAAGAAAAGAAGAATGAGACTAAGTGTTAGTAAGCTCAAGCGAAATATAGTACTAAAAAAAGAAGGGGACAGATTGTGAGAAGTAACAGTAGAATTTTGCTTTAGCTAAAAGTAATTAAACAATTACTTTTATTGAGTTAGGCTAAAGCTGTTATTAGTGTTGCTACAATAGTTTTGTGAGAATTATAACTGTTAAGCAAGTTTTTTTTTTTGATCACAATTTAAGCATAGGGTTGGGCATTGCAAGGAGTTGGACAAGCAGTGCATGGAGGGGGGAGGAGTGTGTCTGTGGTTGAGTGTCATGTAAAGAGGAATGGAAGCCAGCAGAAAAAGGGTTAAGCGAAGAACTCCCGATGAAGAGGAACCTGGACTTCACACCCTCCACCACCCCAACCCCCCAAAAGGACCACCGAGACCAACTGTAAATGCTAGAGAAGAAGGGGGGTGGGGGGGCGAAGAAACTGAAGAAAAGCAAGTGGACTTGTTGCTTGGCTTAGCTGTGTTGCACTGTTCTTTGTTTGATGTCATGTTTAAATCGAAGGTTACATACAACATTGCAGTTGCCTCCCCAGCTCAGCAGCTGTTTTGTGATAAGAAGTAGTGAGGCAGTGGAAAAGTGCAGGGAGAGACAGCCCTGAAGAACACAAGAAGGAACTGTGCAGGTACAAAAAAAAAAAGGACTGGAACTATAAAAAAGAGGCCCCTGCTGGCGCAGCACGTGCCATTGCGCTCAGCACTGTATTATTTGCTCCACTGACTTTGTTCCCAGTACGACTTTTTTTTATATATACATGGGCTTTTTTCTCACATAAAACAAGACACCCCCAGAGACTTTGTTCACCTTGAGCTGGGGTGAAGGTGTGTAAGTGGGTGAGGAAGATTTGCTTTATCCCTTTAAGCTTCAGCTAAAACACTGCAAGATTTGGAGTAAAAGCACCTAAAATCAAAGTGTGAACAACCAGGAAGGCTCCAGCCACACATTGCCACCTGATTGCCTTAAAAAAAAAGAATTTGGAACCCGATTGATCACTTCAACCTGGAATAGCCCATTTCCTTGTCCAAAAGCTACCGTGTGCCTGGCTGAAGGCAAACACAACCTGCAGAGAGAGCCATCAGAGATCGACCGCAAACTTTCCTTGGTCACACGTCCTTGGAAAACTTCTTTCCTGCCTTGTTTGAAAACCTGCAAGAATCAGAATCTCCCTAATGGGCTGACTGGAACTCCTTGGCTGCAGTAAAACCATCCATCCTCGGTCCCCCCCTTTCACAAGAGCTGGCAGCACAGCCTGGGAGGGGGGAAGGCACGAGTCAGATCACAGGGCCGAGATATGAGCACACGCATCTGCCAAGGGAGGATCCTGCACAGCCACCCCTGTTGCACGAGGATCCCGCTCACGCACGCCCGTTGCACAATGATCTTGCACATGCACCCCTCCGCTGCGCGAGGACCCCGCTCACCCCCCACTGCACGCGACTCCTTGCACGCCCGTCCCCCTCGCACCAGGCACCGTGCGCATGCGCGCACCCCGGCGCCGGGACTACAACTCCCGGCGTGCCCCGCGCGGGCGGCCGGGGGAGCCGCGTGCCGATTGGCTGCAGAGGGGGCGGGGCCGGGGCACGCGGCGGGGCCCGCCCTCTGGCGGCGGCGGAGCAGCGGGAGGGGGAGCTGCGGAGCCCGGGAGTGGGTGTTAGTGGGGGTCTGGGCGGGCTGTGAGCATCTGGGGAGGGGAGGGCGGTGGGGGGGTTGCGGCCCCCCGGGGGGCCCGGGAGCTGGGGATGGGCCCCGGGGCTGTCGGGTAGTGGGGCTGGGGAAAGGCTCGGAGCCCCTTGTGGGGCCGAGGAGTGGGGTGGGGGGGGCTGTGGGCGGCCCCGGGGTTGGGGAGTGGGGCGGTGGGTGATGGGGGGACTGGCGGGGGGGGGCTGGGAGCCGCCGGCAAGGGCTGGGGGAGCCCCGAGCCCGGGGGGGCTGCGAGGCGGGGGGGGTCCCGGCCCTTTCCCTGCCCGCCCCAGCCCGGGGTCCCGGCCGAAGCCCCTCGAGGAGCTGATTTGGCCGCCCCGAGGGACGGCTGGGGGGGCAGCCCCGAGCTGCTCGGCTGGGGCCTCGTTCTTGGGGCAAGAGGCAGCGGGGGCCTGCGCAGCGCTGGGAGTTGGCGCTGAAAATCCCAGCTCGGGGGGGTCGGGGCTGGTTTCCATCCCACAGGACGGCTCCTGCTCCTTGAATTCCAGGCAGCAGACCTGCAGCTTCATCCGGGTTTCTTGGTATTTTGCTTTTCTTCAAACTTCAGTTGCAGAAATTGGGATAGTGGATTTTTGTTTGAACAGTTTTTGGTTGCTGTGATGACAGCAGTGGGCTGTAGAGACGAACCTCAGCAATTCAGTAGTCCCAAACTTTCCCCTTTGTGCCTTTAATTAAGGAATAATTTGAAAACTGATGAAAACTAAATGGTGTTTGGGCAGCGCAGAGTTTTTCTTTCCACGGGTGAAAAGATTTTGGGTTTCTTGGCTTAGCTACTGTCCATGGAGGCAAGGAAGGAGAAACCGAGCAGCGGTGATGTCTCTTCTTCAGATTTAGGACATGCACAAATACACTTAACTAAAAGAAGCCAGTGTTAAATTTTCTTGTTTATTGCTTGCAGGAAGCTAATGGGAATATCCTTAAATCAAAACTGATATGAAACGGAAATGTGTCCAAAACGTCTGCTGTATGTAGTGTCACCCTTAGTGGATTTCAAACCTTTTCATTTCCTGGTGATCAGCTCTAACTGTCTAGAGCAATGCAAATAAGTTGTATTAAGATGGTAGCAACTTGATTCTTTTCTTATATCCACAAATGTTTTTTTAAAAAAGTAGTTGGATTTCTAAGTTAGGTCAAGTTATCTAAAAACCATAAGCAGGATTTTTTTTTTTTTTTTCCCCTCGTTTATATTAATGCTGGGTAAAAGAGTATAAGTGGATTTGGAAAGCTGTAAGCTGAAGGGTGCTTTCCGGTGAGGTTGTTTGGTTTTTTTTTTTTTTTTTGTGAAGTCTTCAGTATTATTTTCTCCCGCAGTATTTCTAGGTTGCAGAACCAGCCTCAAATTTGCTATGGAATTACTTCTCCCATTAGCTTGGCTTCTCCCAAGGATATAGATTGCATCCATACTCAGAAGCTAGCTGAAGCAAGGAAGCCATTTTAGGTATTTGAAGAGGAGGAAGAACTGAATCATCAGTATAACAAAATCGTAAAATTTGTTAACCGCTTGTTTTTTTTTCAGAGAAAACTTAACATGAGTTTCCTTTACAAGCTGGTGGTTCTTGGTGAACTAAATTACTTGGTCAAAGAATGGATTTCAGACTTTAGTGAGAGCAAGGTGAGGGTTTTTTATCTTCTTATCAAAACAGCTGGTGCCTTTTTATTTCTTTTAAAGGCCATACTACTAGGATTTATGCTGAAGTTCAACTTTTAACTTTCTCCTTAAGTATTGAGTAGAGCTGTAGCAACTGCCATTGAAATTAGGTATAAAAGATACTACAGTTCACAATCTTGAAGTCTTTGGGGTACTGAATAAATTTGTGAAGTGGCTCTGTGGGTTGACTTGTAGCAGCTAACAAAGCTGAAACAACATATTGTGGGGTGAGCTAGGTGGGAAATGGGCACTAATCTCGCCCCAAACAGTCTGCAGCACCCAGTGTGGTTTGAAATTATTACAATAGAGTTGCCTTTTGCAGAGATTGTGTTCCTTCATGTGCATCTGCTGCAGGGAAGACTAACAGTAGTCCTTAATATGTGTAAATTAATGAAAGGACTGCTACATTACTTATCTATTTTGTTTGTTTTGTTTTGTTTTTTGAGTTGCAAGCAATCATTTAAGAAAAATAGTAACAATCTATTAGATTAACAACTCAGTATGGGAGTGAGAAGACGCTGTTTATGGAGGCTGTTGTAGTCTTTCTAAAAAAACTGCATGCTACCAAAACTTGTATATAGGTCAATGTGTATCTTCTGTTCTAAAGTAAACACTTTCTCTTCTACCCACAGAATCTTCCCCCTTCAGCAGCAGCAAATGTTGGTGCAAAATGTTTACATTTGGTTCTTACAGTCTTGGAGTGCACCCTCAAGGTAGAACTTTCATTATCTGGTCATAGTTCTGATGTTTGAAAGTGACTTCCAACAATAACAGAAGAAATGGAATCTCTTTGCAGGTGCTGACATAGATGCTGTTTGTGTTGCTCCAAGACATGTAGAAAGATCAGATTTTTTTTCAGTTTTTCATTGAAAAACTAAAACATCAGGAGGAAATAAAAAAAAAAATCTAAGAGCGACTAAGCTCTTTCCATGATAATTGTGCAACTTCTACAGTAAGAATGTTCATGTTAAAGACTCATATTGGTAGTGAACGTCTTACAAGACAAAATTTTAAAATAGATTGTTTCTGAGCGCCTTGTAAAATGCTGCCTTATGCAGTATGGAAATGTTGGAAGTCAAGCTCTTGGTTCCTTTCCCCAGTGACTGTACATCATATAAAAATCTTTGTGGTACACTTCTCCCCTCCCCATGGTTTGAGAATGAGTTGGCTGTATCAAAAAGCAAGGCTGTCCCTGGGAGCCCTGCTTTCATGTCAGGTGCAGTAAGGGGCCTGGACATGCACGCCGGGGGAGGAGGGGGCAGCCTGAAAGCTCAGGAAGGTGACGGTGATGTGGAAAGGCTCCTGTCAGTCCCTTGGCCGTGCTGTTCCTCTGGATAGACTTTAGGAGCTCTCGTTCATTCTCCTCTGGTCACGTTCCTCTCTGGCTCCTCAGCCTGAGCCTTTGCAGACGGGATGCACACTGTCAGCTTTCCAGAAAGTTCACAGGGGCTGTGCTGGGAACATACAGAACTGCTTTGTAAAAGCACCCTCAGCTGCATGTATTTAGTACCTTGCACGTAAAACTGAACTCCTGGGAAGTATTTCTCAGCCTGGTCTTCCTCATGCAGACATTTTGAAATACTTCATGTGCATAGCTACGGAGCCTTTGTTTAGATGACTGTCACCTGAAAACAGACTCCCAGCAGGCTGAGGCACAGTTCTAAAAAGTGGTCTACAAAACTGAAAACGGTGCAATAAGGTAGCTGATAGCATCTCAGGCATGGTAGAAAATCGAAATAGAGAAGACTAGTGTGCACTGTCAAATGTGGACAGAATTTGTTAGATTTCTCAGGATGTTAACCAGCAGTAAGACAACTACAGAAATCTCTTTTCTTCATCTCTGCCAGGGTAAGTACCTTACAACTGCCGATCCTGGTGGCTCACTGTGCGCTGTTTGTTCCTTACAATACATGATCAGCCTCTGAATCTCTTGGCTAAGTAACTTTTTAAAGCCAGTATTAGTGCTATAGTGCTTGCAGCTTACTACCAATTTTTTTGGTTTGGAAGCAACTCGGTCTTTATCCTGAATAGTTTAGCAGTGTAAATTCTGTATTTTATCATAGTTTAGGAAAAAGATTAAAGTAGCAGGAAATATTTTCTTACACAGTGATCCTCTCCTTTACAGGCAGTTGAAGATACATGTGTACCAGTTGTCAGGTTTGAGTTTGGCACTGAGGTAAGAATTTTGCTTTTTTTAAGTCAGAAGTTCTTCCTTTGGAATTGGTTAACTTTTCCAGGGACTTGTGACCTTGTTGTTTTACAAGGTTATTGGTACCTTACAGTGTATTTAGGAAACTGTAATTAAGCAGCCTGACCACAACCTATCCCAGGAGAAGGCACGGCAGTAAAATGGGAGCCGATAGGAAAATAAGCCCCTAGGAAGCCTGGCGGGCACAGGAACATCAGGGACACGTCTTTCTAAGCCTGTGCTGCAGGCCAGGGCAGCCCACTGGAACAGCAGTTATGTCACAGGGATTGTGCAGCATGGGAGTAGAGGCAGTGTCCTTGCCAACCCTTCTGAGCTCTGACAAACTGGATTTGTACAGAGGGATGGATATAGTGTAGTTCACCGTATGGATCATGTGAGCAGACTAAATGTTTTGCTTCAAATCAAAAATGAAGTGGTCATGAGACAAGCAATCTGGAAGAAGAAAAGTGAAAGCCCCCATTTGACTCCTGCCCAGGTTTGTTAGCTGCAGGAATCCTTGTATCTTGACTGCATCTTACCCCGTGATCGCAGACCTGCATGCTGTAGTACCTCAGCAAGTTACTGCTTGATGTCACTATCGTGAAGACCTTCAGTGACCTTCTTGTGGCCTCTCTCTGGTACAGACATTCACAGAATAATTTTCTTGCCTCAGACTATACTATAGACCATATGCTTCAGGATCAAAAGGGCTTACTGCAGAAAGAAAATGCTCTCTCGTTTGCTGAAGTTTAGTTGAGGTGACTGAACTTGCATCTTAATTCTATGATTTATGTTCCTGTTTAATGGTAATTTGAAGTTTAGAGTAATCTTTTCAACTTAAAAACCCCTTCCTTTCCCTAGCTTAAAAAGGGGGGATACAGTGATGGTTTTGTAAATAAAATATGGAACTTCTAGCAATTCTCTTGAGTTTTCTGGGAAGTAAATCTCTCAGGACATGTATCTGTAGTCACATAGTTCTAAATACAAATGTTAACCCCTCTTTGTAGACTTGACTAGCTTTTCCCCCACTGGTGTGCTGTTTGCAAACGGTGCAGCATTCTAACTCAGTTGGCACTTTTTTCCCTCTTAAGATGGATCTCACGTTTGCCAGACCGTCTGTGCAAACTGTTTCTGATAATCTTAATCTCGGAGATAACTCACATCTGAGAAGCCTGGATATGAGATTTATGCGAAGCTTAAATGGGAAGCATATTTACACATCTTTAAAAATAAAGTGTTACTGAACTTGGTATAGAATGTACATTGCACAACCCATCGGTTTCTGTACAAGTTGCAGAAATTGATCTCCTGGATACTTGAGATCTGAGGAGGTGGCGAGTGGGCTTAAATTTAGATGTTTCAAGGAGTTGTGTGTTTAGATAGACCTGTATCTCATGTTTCTTTGATTGGGCTATGTGCATTGTTCCAGTCGCCATAGAAACTGCTTCAGATGAATATGTGGAGCATTTGCTAGAGAAGAATGTGTAGTAGTTCATAAAAAAAAAAAAAGAAAAGGTATTTAAATTACCTGAAGCCTAACTTGCTCACTGTTTAACACTGACTGGTTTAATTGTTTCTGGCTGTTGAAAGAAACTTAGCTTTCAGAATCCTCTAGAAAGGCCTTATTAAAAATTGTAGTCTGTAAACTATGAAAAAGCTGCTGACGGCACCAGTTACCTGGAGTGATACTGAATGTTGCGTGTAATCTGTAATTTTTAAGGTAGTACAAAGCAAGTAATCCAAACTTGTTTTCATAGATTTGAACGATGAACTGTGAGCTATTGATCCAGCATAGCATAAAACTCACCTGTACCTGTTACTAGCAACTTTTTTCTTAGAGGCTACAGAGCTACTGGTGAAATAACAGCATCTAGAGCCAACTGAGGAGAACTTCCGGCTCACACTCCGTGCAATTAAACTGTGGGCAAAATGTGAGTAAAGGGATTGTTCGTGAACTGTAAACTTTTCAGAGGCACCTCATGCTGAAAAAATAAGACAATTAGAAGTACTTCAACTTTGGATAGCTGTTTAAATGACGGCTTTTAAACTAGAACCTGTTCTTTAGTTTAGATTCACGGTCTGTCCATGGGGTGGATTCAATGTGTTTTTTAATGGGGGTAGAGTGGGGTGAAGAGGGGAGTGCCTACAAGACAAGGTGCTGCATTGCTTATCAGGAACCTGACTAGAGATGGTAAAAAAGCCAAGTTAAGTATAAAAGCTTGATACGTAAGGAAGAAGAAAATACTGTTTGTGCATGTGGCTAGAGCAAGTGCTAGAAGAACGCTAGAATTTTTTGTAAGGGAAGTTAGAGTAAAGCAGTAGCTGTAGCCGTGTAGGCAAATTTCAGAGTAGCAGTATTTTGGGAAGTGGTGTGGTCGTGGTTCTTCTCATCACTGTTAAGGACCAACAATTTTGGCCTCATTGCACTGCAAAAATAACTGACTTGGAGTCTGAAGTGTACTGAGTATTCTACAGATTGTGAAGTTGGTGCTGTAAATTTGAAGGAAGGTCCTTGGGTATTGAAGGACTGCAGGCTAACGACACGTACCCATTCTAGGGCACGGCATTTACTGCAGCGTGCTGGGATTTCTTGGTGGGGTTTCCTGGGCAGTGCTAGTAGCAAGAACATGTCAACTCGATCCAAATGCCAAGAAAGGCAAAGCCAAGAGGAGAACATTAATTGCATTCCCTGAAGGGGAGGTGCAAACTGAAGGAGGGCAACTCATCGGCCCCTGTCAGAGTTTCAACACTTGAGATAAACAGAAAATATAAAATTGTAGGAAGTTAACAGTGGCCAAGAAGCAGATTATAAAACCACCTGATCCAAATCTCAGAAAGACTTTCAATATTGATTTATGTGAATATTAGAGCAAGGCTGAAAATTAAGTGGTTGCTTCTGCTTGCCAGGTCATAAGATAACTTAAATGGGCTAAACAGTAATGAGAAAATGCTAAAGGCAACAGCGAAGTTTACTGGTTTCCTCCACTGGACCAACTGTGCAGTGAACCAACTTAACAGAGCCAGTCTACGAATGTCACTGAAGTTGCTTAAAAAAAAAAAAAAAAAAGTCCTTATCCTGGAATGTAAAGGCAGCACCTTGGCTCCCATGCAGAGTGTCAGAGATGGCCCAGTAGGGTCATGTCCTGACATTCCAGGTCAGAAAAAGAAGGTGCTGGATGTGTTTGTGGGGTTGGTTTGACGTATCTTTTCTGTTTTCCAGTAACCTGGGGAAGGACGCGTTATGCGGTAGCACCGGTGCTACTTTAGCCCTGAGGTTCAAAAAGGTGCTGCACATCAGTGCAACTCCCTGAGTTGCCTTCATCACCAAATAAAACAGAGTTGCTTTCTCCAGGGTGGTGGAAACAGGAGCTCACAAGTGGATTCTAGCTACACCTCAGGGTAGTAGTTAGTACATGCTTAACTTTAAATGTATGCTTAAAGCCCACCAACTGGCTATTAAAGGTCACATGAACCCCAGAGATCTAATAAAAAAAAAAAATCAAACCCATGACAATATCCCCAGAAAACACTACACCCCGTTTTCCACTCCTGAAGGACATGTTGGGGTCCCTACCTCACCTGGGAGCCGGAGCATTTGTCCCCTCCTGCCCTGGGGCTGCCAAAGCAGCGGCGCAGCGAGGAGGGCAGCTCCCACTCGGGCTGGCCGTGCCCACAGAACCAGAACACTACACAGAACAACCCACAAGACATCAAGTGTCCAAGCAAAAAGGCCCGGTGTGCCAAAAGAAATAAAAGATTGAAAGATGAAGCAGTTGGACAGGAATGCTCTGCAGTGAGCAACTCCATGATGTCTGGCACTCCTCTGCAGGAACAATTCTACATGGCACTTTCACCAGACACAGGGACACTCAAGGGACTATTGAAGCCCTATTTAAGATACGCAAAATGCAGTGACTTTTACTTTACATTAATGAGAATAGCGTCACAGGATCATGGTTGTGTACTTCAACAGCAGTATCTTAGCATAATTTAAATGTGTGGCAGGACTTTCGTGTGAGCTTTTCAAGGGTGTTCCAGGGCAGTCATGGAACTCTGCAGATGCCCCATAGAAACCTCTGTCTGGGATAGTAGAGGTGTGAAAAAAGATAGCAGGGGGAATGTATAGTAAACAAGGGGAGCCTTACCTACAACTAAATAGATCTAATGCTACTCCAAGAGTCCTATTCGTTTAAATACACGATGTTGGAATACCATGACAATGATGACACGTCACCATTCAGCCCTGGCACTGAAGGACACTGAGCATCTTTCAGATCAGGGAAGCAAGCGGGGATAGAGAAAGGCCGCTGACAGCAGGAGCTTAGTGCCCCTTGGATCACAACATCTTTACTGGTGCTGTGTAAAAGGGAGTATTCTATTGGCTTTGCAAAAAAATATTTTGGGGCGCTTTTATTAAAATCATGATTCTTGAGGGGTTTATAAATTCATGCTTTTATTGGCATGAGATTGAAGCCTGACATTAATGTTTTCAGGCCAAAGTTGTTAAATGCTTTCTGCAGAGCATGCAGGGTTTTTCAGTGGTTTTTTTTTTTTTTTTTTTTGTTCTCCCCACTATTCTGCAGCATTAAAATTACCCACAGAGTTATATTGCTCTTCTCACATTAAAGATGTAAGTATTTGCTTGCCCTGAGTTGCACGAAGAATATAAAAAGTATACAATTGCATAGTGATTAATATACATCAATGAGACAGAATTTCTTTGGCAGTTATTTCTTGCACAGTAGGCCAGGTGACCATTTAAGCCCCAATGTCTTCACCAGTTGCTCTGTCCTACTGTAACAACATCACTTTTTAAATATTTAATGATTTGCTTTAATAAAGAACTGTGAATAATTATTTTACCTTAACCTTGATTTCTCCCTGCTTTTCAGAGACGTTTTTTCTCCTGCATTTCAAAATACTACATTGTTTCTTGCCTGCTGCCACACTGTCCTGGTTTCAGATGGGTTAGAGCTAATTTTTTTCTTCTTCATAGCTAGAATAGTACTGGATTTGGGATTTAGTGTGGGATTTGGTATGAGAAGAATGTTGATAATATACTGATGATTTTAGTTGTTGCTAAGAAAGCCAGGACTTTTCAACTCCCCGTGTCCTGCCCGTGCACAGGTGCACACGAAGCTGGGGGGAGCACGGCCAGAGCACTGGACCCAAACTGGCCAAGGGAATATTCCGTATCAGGCAGCGTCATGCACAGTGGGTTGCGGGGGGTGACCAGGAAGCCCTCGCTCTCACTTACAGAATTGCAGTCTTGAGTTCTTCTCCTCTCTGGGATTGCTGGCTGGGGCCAGGCTGGTCATCGGTCAGCTGATGGGGAGCAATCACACGGCATCACTCACCCCTGTTTTCTATTATTATTGCTATTACTATTTTATTTCAATTATGAAATTGTTTTTATCTCAACCTACGTGTCTCCTTACCTTTTCCCCGCCGATTCTCTCCCCCATTCCCCAGGGAGGGGGAGGGTGGGTGAGCGGCTGCGTGGTGTTGGGCTGCCAGCCGGGTTTAAACTGACACACACACAGAAAACACCCACCTTCAGAAAGATCATGATCTCATATTTCAGAGTTTTACAGAATCGTTTAGATAATTTGCTGAAGACTCTCTTGTCAAAGAGAAACATCCCCCCACTCTTCTTTACTTTGGGAGAAAGAATGGAACACAGCATGAAAAAATAAGGAAAACGGATCTTCTCAAAAATGTTAATTAACATTTGTATGTAAATAAAACTATGAGTCTGTCTTTGAGTCATTTGCAAGAGCTCTATTATCAGAGTTAGTGTTAGTTTTCTTATAGACAGACGACAATATGGGTTGCGGATCAATGATGGTTCTTTATTATTATACTACCCTTTTTCACACACCTTTTATAACCCTTAAGGCAAGCCAGCGCAGTTAGATCACAGCCTATTGGCAGTTGCTTAACTGACTTAGTTTCTGTTGGCCTTTTCCTTAACAACCTCCTGTAACTCAGGCCTATGACCTAAAAATCTACAGTTGCGATTTCGTGTGTGACAGTTGCAGTTTCTCATGCTTTCCTATGGTTAGTCTAGCAAGCACTGTACAATTAGCTTTTGTTCCTCTTCCAGGGTTACTCAGAACGAGCTGGGCATGTTGCACTACTAAGGATACTTTTTTATCTGTTCAAGGGTGAGAACCCAGTCAGGATCCACATTCTAGTCCCCTTCTGGGTCCCCCTCCCAAATGTCGACCCCCATAATTCCCCCTTTTTTCTCTTGCACCATAAAAGCCCCATGTACCATCTTCTGCAGGGCCCATTGCAAACATGATAGCACACACAGTATTACGCACAAGATGATGAAAATCACAACAAAAATCAACAATCCCATTTTTAACAATCCTTTAAGGCACCCACTCATTGACAGTCCATTTAGCCAGTTCTCAATGCCAAAAAGCCTGGTATCCTCTGTGATCTTCTTGGTCAGTTGCTGTAGATCCTGAATCTTCTTGTGAAGGGATTCTGAGTGGTTCTCTAGACAACAAACGCCATCAAAATCTTCACATCCATGTCCTTGTGCTACTGGCAAAAAAAATCAGTAGCAGCACGATTTTGTAATGTACCATGTCTAATGATATCTACATCTGTGGTTAATGCTGATAAAATTTCAGAGGTGTATTAGCTGACTTTACTATCCAGCAAGCAATATAATTTATTGTTGTCAGTGCTTTAGCAGCTGCTATGTGCAGAGGGAAGAGAGAAGAAAGGAAACGTTCAGCCCTGTTCCACAATCTAATGTTATCCTGACAATCATCATCTACAGTTATAGCCCTCTTGCTCTTTTCTCCGAGTGGATCAATGTGAGTGCTGTTGCTTCCTTTGCCTGGGAATACACACACTTGCCAGAGGCAGTAAAAGTGCTGTTAGACTGGCGGCGAGAACCTTGAACTGGTAGGGTTAGCTCGTACGCTGGTTGTGGTGCAGCGTTGTCCCCTGTAAATTATTGCAGTGCACTAAGCACTCAGCGGCTCTCTGCTTGCTTTACCGGGGAACACACACACTTGCCAGAGGCAACACAAGCACTCTAATTCTCATGGCGAGATGTTCTTACAGCTAGGGCTAGCAAGCACGGTGGTTGCTGTGCAGAGTTCTCCCGTCTAAACAACAACAGTACACTGAGCATTTCACAGCTCTCTGCTTCCTTTGACTGGGAATACACACACTTGACAGAGGCAGCACAAAAGTTCTTAGTCTGACAGCGAAAACGTTGCACTGATAGGGTTAGCACATATGTTGGTTGGCGTGCAGCATTCTCCCCTTTAAATTACTACAGTGCACTAAGCAGTCTGGACCACGCTGCTTGCTATGCCTGAGAACACACAAACGCTAGCCATTATCTACACACAAACACTACCCAAATATCTGTGAGAAATTTTCTCTGTGAGCCTAAAAGCGCTTGTTGTGGCTCTGATGAATGTTTGTGTCTTCCCAGTGAAAGGAATGAGATAGACAGGGATTGCTATGTGCAGCATGGTATTTTGGAGGAAACAGTGCTGTACAGCGACGATCGTCCATGTAGGTGCTTTCTGTGAGAAGTTTCACTTTGGGGCTAAAAGTGCTATTCTGGCTCTGCTGAAGATTTGTGTGTTCCCAGTGAAAGGAAGCAGCTAGACAGGGATTGCTATGTGCAGCATGGTAGTTTGGAGGAAACAGCGCTGTCCAGCGACCTTCTCCTACCTTGGTGTTCCCTCCGTTGTTTCTCAATATGTTTGTTCTCTCCACCTTTACCAGTCTGGTGTTTGCTGCCATTTCCTGAAGAAGTTTTCACAGGGGCATGACCAGATTTGCTGATGGGCTTCTCAGTGTCCTGTGCTGAGTCTATTGTGGAGCTGGAAACAGCTCTGTCTGGCACAGGGCAATCCCTGGCCTCCTCCCACAGAGGCCACCCTTGCAGCCCCTCCAGCCACCAACCCCTTGTCACGTACACCCCCCCACAGTCATCCACTGTGGGAAGTGGAGGTTCAAAAGGCTTCTTGAGGTTTTTTTCTGTTGAACTATGAACCTTTATTATTATATGTTGGCAATAAAGAAACAACTTCCTGTGACAGAAAGACTAGAGCTGAAAAAACCCCGGTGGCTGATAGGACACACGTCAGTGTTGGGGACATAGTCATCAAGATTGGCCATATAGTGTGTGACCTCACTG